TCATTGTGTTATGAGCTTCCGATTAATACTAATACCCAGCAAAAAGGTATAAAAACAGGCAATTATTTAAAAAATTCATTGTTTTGCAAACATCATAACTAAGCCAAAAATGCGTTAATTTCAATTCGGAAAACTGTTCTGTGCTAGTTTTTGTAGCACTAACAAATCTACATACTGCGTTTGTTGATGCTGTTTAAAGTTTCGGACTAAAATTATAATAACCAGAAAAAAGGTATAAAAACTAGCATTTTTGTAAAAATTCAGTGTTTTGCAAACATCATAACTAAGCTAAAAATGCGTTCATTTCAATTTGGAAAGCTGTTCTGTGCTAATTTTTATATCGCTAACAAATTTGCATACTGCGTTTTAAAATTTAAAAAATTCAATTTTTTGTCGAATTTAGCAAATTTTAATGATGTAACCCCTTATCTTTTTTTCAAATTTCGAAAAAATGCAAACATTTATTTTTCCACTAGACATGGCTAGATCGATTCTGCTGTTCATTCTGAACAATAATATATATGATTTATAGGGTCGGAAATGATTCCTTCATTGTGGTTTGAGCTTCCGATTAATACTAATACCCAGCAAAAGGTATAAAAACAGGCAATTATTTAAAAATTCATTGTTTTGCAAACATCATAACTAAGCCAAAAATGCGTTAATTTCAATTCGGAAAACTGTTCTGTGCTAGTTTTTGTAGCACTAACAAATCTACATACTGCGTTTGTTGATGCTGTTTAAAGTTTCGGACTAAAATTATAATAACCAGAAAAAAGGTATAAAAACTAGCATTTTTTGTAAAAATTCAGTGTTTTGCAAACATCATAACTAAGCTAAAAATGCGTTCATTTCAATTTGGAAAGCTGTTCTGTGCTAATTCTTATATCGCTAACAAATCTGCATACTGCGTTTTAAAATTTAAACAATTCAATTTTTTGTCGAATTTAGCAAATTTTAATGATGTAACCCCTTATCTTTTTTTCAAATTTCGAAAAAATGCAAACATTTATTTTTCCACTAGACATGGCTAGATCGATTCTGCTGTTCATTTATGTTATGAGCTTCCGATTAATACTAATACCCAGCAAAAAGGTATAAAAACAGGCAATTATTTAAAAAATTCATTGTTTGCAAACATCATAACTAAGCCAAAAATGCGTTAATTTCAATTCGGAAAACTGTTCTGTGCTAGTTTTTGTAGCACTAACAAATCTACATACTGCGTTTGTTGATGCTGTTTAAAGTTTTGGACTAAAATTATAATAACCAGAAAAAAGGTATAAAAACTAGCATTTTTTGTAAAAATTCAGTGTTTTGCTAACATCATAACTAAGCTAAAAATGCGTTTATTTCAATTTGGAAAGCTGTTCTGTGCTAATTTTTATATCGCTAACAAATCTGCATACTGCGTTTTAAAATTTAAAAAATTCAATTTTTTGTCGAATTTAGCAAACTTTAATGATGTAACCCCTTATCTTTTTTTCAAATTTCGAAAAAATGCAAACATTTATTTTTCCACTAGACATGGCTAGATCGATTCTGCTGTTCATTTATGTTATGAGCTTCCGATTAATACTAATACCCAGCAAAAGGTATAAAAACAGGCAATTATTTAAAAAATGCATTGTTTTGCAAACATCATAACTAAGCCAAAAATGCGTTAATTTCAATTCGGAAAACTGTTCTGTGCTAGTTTTGTAGCACTAACAAATCTACATACTGCGTTTGTTGATGCTGTTTAAAGTTTCGGACTAAAATTATAATAACCAGAAAAAAGGTATAAAAACTAGCATTTTTTGTAAAAATTCAGTGTTTTGCAAACATCATAACTAAGCTAAAAATGCGTTCATTTCAATTTGGAAAGCTGTTCTGTGCTAATTTTTATATCGCTAACAAATCTGCATACTGCGTTTTAAAATTTAAAAAATTCAATTTTTTGTCGAATTTAGCAAATTTTAATGATGTAACCCCTTATCTTTTTTCAAATTTCGAAAAAAATGCAAACATTTATTTTTCCACTAGACATGGCTAGATCGATTCTGCTGTTCATTCTGAACAATAATATATATGATTTATAGGGTCGGAAATGATTCCTTCATTGTGGTTTGAGCTTCCGATTAATACTAATACCCAGCAAAAAGGTATAAAAACAGGCAATTATTTAAAAAATTCATTGTTTTGCAAACATCATAACTAAGCCAAAAATGCGTTAATTTCAATTCGGAAAACTGTTCTGTGCTAGTTTTTGTAGCACTAACAAATCTACATACTGCGTTTGTTGATGCTGTTTAAAGTTTCGGACTAAAATTATAATAACCAGAAAAAAGGTATAAAAACTAGCATTTTTTGTAAAAATTCAGTGTTTTGCAAACATCATAACTAAGCTAAAATGCGTTCATTTCAATTTGGAAAGCTGTTCTGTGCTAATTCTTATATCGCTAACAAATCTGCATACTGCGTTTTAAAATTTAAACAATTCAATTTTTTGTCGAATTTAGCAAATTTTAATGATGTAACCCCTTATCTTTTTTTCAAATTCGAAAAAAATGCAAACATTTATTTTTCCACTAGACATGGCTAGATCGATTCTGCTGTTCATTCTGAACAATTATATATATGATTTATAGGGTCGGAAATGATTCCTTCATTGTGTTATGAGCTTCCGATTAATACTAATACCCAGCAAAAAGGTATAAAAATAGGCAATTATTTAAAAAATTCATTGTTTTGCAAACATCATAACTAAGCCAAAAATGCGTTAATTTCAATTCGGAAAACTGTTCTGTGCTAGTTTTTGTAGCACTAACAAATCTACATACTGCGTTTGTTGATGCTGTTTAAAGTTTCGGACTAAAATTATAATAACCAGAAAAAAGGTATAAAAACTAGCATTTTTTGTAAAAATTCAGTGTTTTGCAAACATCATAACTAAGCCAAAAATGCGTTCATTTCAGTTTGGAAAGCTGTTCTGTGCTAATTTTTATATCGCTAACAAATCTGCATACTGCGTTTTAAAATTTAAAAAATTCAATTTTTTGTCGAATTTAGCAAATTTTAATGATGTAACCCCTTATCTTTTTTTCAAATTTCGAAAAAATGCAAACATTTATTTTTCCACTAGACATGGCTAGATCGATTCTGCTGTTCATTCTGAACAATAATATATATGATTTATAGGGTCGGAAATGATTCCTTCATTGTGTTATGAGCTTCCGATTAATACTAATACCCAGCAAAAAGGTATAAAAACAGGCAAATTGTTAAAAATTTCATTGTTTTGCAAACATTATAACTAAGCCAAAAATGCGTTAATTTCAATTCGGAAAATTGTTCTGTGCTAGTTTTTGTAGCACTAACAAATCTACATACTGCGTTTGTTGATGCTGTTTAAAGTTTCGGACTAAAATTATAATAACCAGAAAAAAGGTATAAAAACTAGCATTTTTTGTAAAAATTCAGTGTTTTGTAAACATCATAACTAAGCTAAAAATGCGTTCATTTCAATTTGGAAAGCTGTTCTGTGCTAATTTTTATATCGCTAACAAATCTGCATACTGCGTTTTAAAATTTAAATAATTGAATTTTTTGTCGAATTTAGCAAATTTTAATGATGTAACCCCTTATCTTTTTTCAAATTTCGAAAAAATGCAAACATTTATTTTTCCACTAGACATGGCTAGATCGATTCTGCTGTTCATTCTGAACAATAATATATATGATTTATAGGGTCGGAAATGATTCCTTCATTGTGTTATGAGCTTCCGATTAATACTAATACCCAGCAAAAAGGTATAAAAACAGGCAATTATTTAAAAAATTCATTGTTTTGCAAACATCATAACTAAGACAAAAATGCGTTAATTTCAATTCGGAAAACTGTTCTGTGCTAGTCTTTATAGCGCTAACAAATCTGCTTACTGCGTTTGTTGATGCTGTTAAAAGCATCGGACTAAAATTATAATAACCAGAAAAAAGGTATAAAAACTAGCATTTTTTGTAAAAATTCAGTGTTTTGTAAACATCATAACTAAGCTAAAAATGCGTTTATTTCAATTTGGAAAGCTGTTCTGTGCTAATTTTTATATCGCTAACAAATCTGCATACTGCGTTTTAAAATTTAAAAATTCAATTTTTTGTCGAATTTAGCAAACTTTAATGATGTAACCCCTTATCTTTTTTTCAAATTTCGAAAAAAATGCAAACATTTACTTTTCCACTAGACATGGCTAGATCGATTCTGCTGTTCACTCTGAACAATAATATATATGATTTATGGGGTCGGAAATGAGTCCTTCATTTGGTTTTAAGCTTCCGATTGAAATTATTAAATCGGTATTTAAATTGAAATACTTACAACAATTTTATGTGACAAAGCAAAGGCTTAAATGGTCATAACTGCGCTTAAAATGCATTAATTTTAATTCGGAAAACTTTCCTATAATAGTTTTTATTGGGTTTATTAACCTGCATACTCATTTTCTGCGTTGCATACTCAAGACTGAAATTATGACACCCCCAAATGGGTATTTACATTTAAATATTTACTTGACATTTGGAGAACAATTTTAGAAACTTTTCGATATTAGTGACCAGGCGAACCTAAGGCAGCAGATAGAGGACATTTTGATCTGCCTAAAAGTATGCTAAGAATAAGCATAATTTTTAAATATGAAACAGCCCGAAAGTAGGCTATAGAAAAATACATGAAATACATACATGCAAGTAAACTTGTAGTAGAAGTTGTTATTAACAATATCGATCAAAATACGTTGAATATTTGAAGTCTGTTGGGGTGATAGGACGCTAAAAAAGCCGGTGTTAGCCAGAGGCTGTTTATTATCTGATGCGGCAATGAAATAAATTAATTTATGCGCCGAATCCAGAGTTGCCAGATGAAAGCGTAAGGAATGTCTTTTCGTAGCATTCAGCTTCTCCTCGTCAACCGGTTATAAAATCGATAAGGCAGCACTCTCTTTAAAATAGGTGACAAGCCTAGAAAACAGCTGTTCACGATTCGGTATTTGCCGGCATTTCACCGTGAATTTTTAATAATAAATAAAACTTAACGAATAAATAGAGCCCTGTTATGAGCAATATTGTGCAATATATTGTTGTGCGCAGCGATTTACGTTCTGCGCTCAATTGGCCCATGGGCGCTGTCATCGCGCAATGTTGCCACGCCACCGCCGCCGTTATGCATTTGAATTCGGAGGATACAGATACGATTTCGTATTTAAAGGATCTGGACAATATGCACAAAGTTGTCCTGGAGGTAAGTCTCCAATAAATCCATTTAACATTCGATTTATTTAAATACATTTTATTTTCAGGCCAAAGATGAGGCTGCTCTGGTAAAACTCAGCGAGAAGTTGAAGGAGCACGAGATTAAGCACAAGTTATGGATTGAACAGCCCGAGAATATTGCAACCTGCATTGCCCTTAAACCCTACGTCAAGGATATTGTGCACAAATATGTTAAACATTTCAAACTACTGAAGGAATAATGAATATTTGTCATTCAACACTAAATCTCAGGTTTTTATTTTGAATATTCGCTCCTAAATTTGTATCTTTTTTAACTAAGCTACTTGCTTTGCCATCCCAGTAAAACTCACAGTAGAATACTTTTTGTCCACTTTTATTTTTAAGTTTTTGTTTTTTAAATAGTTTCTCTCTTGTAAAAAATAGTTGGGGTTCTTCTTTAGCTTATGGTATTCGAAACTGCTGTAGAAATAGCTGTAGTAGATACAATTTTTATATATTAATAGGTAAATTAAAACTAAAATTAAAGGTTGCGACTTCGGGGATCCTGGTGGCAACCTGGAGCAATTTGGCACAGATGCAGATACAGATACAGATACAGATACAGTAGTTGGTGGATTATACAGTGTTTATGATTGTGTCTCCATGCGATGTGTGGGATTCTGAGGGCCGAGCGTAGCTAGTAGTTACTTGCTACGTTCGGGGCTGTGTCGATGTCTAAGTTTAACAATAACAAGTTACTAAAATTAAGACCAAAGCGCTTAGGTTCGTCGGGATAGTGCGGGACCACGCCTTCTTCGCAGCCGTTGAGGGGGCGCTAATTAGTTTTTTGGCCGCGGATGCTGCAGTGCATTCAGCTCGTCCTTGAGCCAGGCCTGCCAGGTTTCCTGCGAAAGGCGAGACAGAAGTTCAGCCGGGAACGGCCGCAGTTGTTGGATGAGAAAACTCAAAAGGGAGAGGAGGCAGTCGGGAGGACCCATCACCAAGAAGCTAAGCCAGCATGAGCCTAGCAGTGTGAGTGTGTGTGCGCGAGTGTGTAAAGGATAATTCTGTGAGCAAGTGAGTGGGTGAGTGGAAAGCGTTAGGGACAGGGATAGAGATAGAAATGGAGTATGCTAATAGCATCTACTTTGGTGAACCGTTAGGAGCAGCAGCAGCAGCAGAAGCGGCAGCCACTTGGCATTTGTTAACGCTAATTGCAAATGTCAACAGAGCGAAACAGATCCAGGACTCGCAGCGGAAATCGGAAATGCTTAACTAGTCGCCCGTGTCGGTGTGCCTTTGCAGGGCCTTGGCCTGTATGGGTGCGTGGGGTTAAAGTGTAAGAGTGTGTCTGTGTGTCAGTGTCCTGGAACGGGTCTGTTTGCTTTGGTTTATGTATTTGTGTTTTGTTTGCCATTTGCCATTTGCCGTTTGCCGGCATTTGCTGGCTGCCTGCCTCCTTTTCACTCATTGTTATGCAAATGATCCGGATATTCATCATATTCGTTTTCATTATCCTCCGCCTGCTCGTCCTCGTCCTCCTCCTCCTGCTCGTAATCGCTGGCGTTGCTCTCCGGCTGCGTTACATCGGGCAAGTAGTCCTTATGCACGGGTGTCGAGATGATTGGCTCCTGTGTAAGGCAAGGTGTTCGCGATAGCGACAGTGTGTGCGTTTTTGCCGGTTTTGTAGTGTGTTAGTGTGTTTGAGTGTGCAAAAGCAAAAGTTAGTTAGCCAAGTTGGACAACAACAGCAACAAGAAGAAAATACTACCACTACTTTGTAGATTACGGAGGATGCCAGGAGTGGCTCATGCAAAATACCAATGATCAACTTTCCGTCAGCCAATTGGGGGTTGGGCACAGAGAGAAATCAGGAGATGAGACAAAACTTATATAGTTTATGAATAATTATGATATGATCCGGAACATGAGCACTAGTTGTCACACTCTTTTTTTATACCCTTCCAGGGTATTATGATTTCAGTCAGAAGCTTTTAAGTTAGTGAAGGAGTCATTTCCGACCCTATAAAACATATCTATTCTTGATCAGAACAGCCGAATTGATCTAACTATGTTTGGTCCAAATAAATTTTTTTAGAATTTTCCAAAATTTTGTAAGGGGTTACATCATTAAAATTGTCAAAAATTGTCAATTTTTTCTATTTCTATTTTCTAAAATTTAAAATGGAGTATGCAGATTTATTATTCTAATAAAAACTAACCTAGGAATGGTTTCTGAATTTAAATTAATGCTTTTTTGGCTGAGCTGATTTTTTTAAATTTAGATTTTTCGAAGAAATTCGCCTTCCCTTTATGGTTTAAAGATACTTTTGTATTTTCAAGATATAAGATTCGGACTCCTCTCCTATATTTCTTTCTGTGCAGGACGGGATAGGTTCTGTTGGATAGCTTGTATTTTATGGTAGTACGACGTATAACGCATGCTAACCTTTGGCGGCCGCCATCCACAGCCGGGCAGCGGCAGCCCGTCGGCGCCGAGGGGACAGGGGGCGTCTAGGCCGGGCACGCCCTGCTCGCCCTTGTCGCCGCGATCTCCTTTGCGTCCCCGTTTGCCGGGCGGACCGGCGTCCCCTCTGGAGCCCTGCTCCCCGCGCGGACCCTCCTGCCCGGGAATGCCATCGGTGCCCTGTGCAGGTGTATTTTTCGGGTTTGTTTTGAGGGGGTGTTTGAGGGGATTTAAAGGTGTGTTTAAGGACATTTCAGACAGGTGCATTGGGTAGTGAGCGACGCCAACATAAAGGAGATTCGCATGCAAACATAGAAAAATACAGAGAGGAGAGAGAGAGAGAGAGGTAAAAACAATAGAGAGAATACATAGATTATTTAAAATTAGCAACCACATGGAGGAGCTGAAGAAGAGCTCTGTTCTACGAAAATGTCCCGAGATGTCCTTGAAATGCTTACCGGCAGACCCGGATCCCCGCGCTCTCCCTTATGTCCTGTCTCGCCCTGGGCGCCCTGCGAATACATAGAAAGAGATATCAATTACAACCACTGTATTTTCGCAGTCGATGGATTTTCGGGGAAGTACCTTCATGCCATCCAAGCCCGGCGGTCCCTGCGGCGAGTGGGGGAAAGCGAGAAAAGAACGGAGAGAAAATGGGAAAAGCGTGTGGTTAGCAGAGCTGCATGAAGTAGATACACCCTGCCTCGCAAAATGAGAGCTTCGCTTTGTACACGCTAAGTTTGTTGTTTAGTAAAAAACCATCACTTTATTGAAAATGCATAATTAATACGAAAATTATGTTAGTTTCGTTTAGCAATCATTTTACAATCGGTCATTCTGTGGCCTTGCCTTGCTCGCCTGCGATTCGCACATGCTCGGGAGGGGCCAAAGGCAAACAATTATCGGGGATTCGCTTTACGTAATTACGTATTTTTTATGCTATTACTTTCTCAATCGAATCATATGGAATTATACATTTGGAATGCACGCAGCAGCACAGATAAAAATATGGTGTTCGGGTTCGTGATGATGGCATAATGCACTCGCACATCGACATTTAGTATATGCACGTATATAGACATAAATACACGTAAATATATATATATATTCTTGTATATATATTATATATTATTTTTTATTTCGTTTGCAAACTCTTCTTGTTTTCTATGGGGTAATTAACAAATGTACACTTACAATTACGGTTAGCGGCTTATTAGGGGCTTATACCTTTTTTAGCTCTTGCTCTTTCATTTATAGTTAGTTAATTAGGGGTTTAAGGTTTAAGTTTAAGTTTCAATCGCGAAAACACAATTCATTATTCTAGCCTATGGATCGAGAGAGAGAGAGAGAGAGAGCTGAGTTCGTAGTTAGTGAGTGAAGGAGTAAGTATATCTATATATATTAGAGAGCAAGATGGTAAGTAAACACGACGAGATAGTTAGAGAGGAAGAGTGGGAAAAACAGCTAGGAAAATTAATTGTTAATTATATGATTAAGTTCCATTCTTTATCGCAGCGTATGTACACGTTGGGTTGCTTGACATTTAGTGGATTAAATGAAAATTGACATGCAAATTGTTTGTGTATTCTGTTTTCCATTTGGGGATTATTACAACAACGAGACACATCTAATTGAAAACAAATTGACATATTCTTTGTGATTTTCGATGCCGTTTGCTGTTTGCTGCTGGCTGTTGTCTGTTCGTGCAAACATTAAAGCTGCAAATATTTTCCATTCCATTCCATTTTCATTTTCATTTCCCATTTGCATATTCAATAATTCCCATTGAATTTTTATGGCCTGTGGATTTGGAAATGCGCTGTCGACTGGCAGTACTATATACTTATATTATTATATTTCCATGGCATTATTTCATTTGCATTGATTATGTTTGATTTTTCAGGCCGTTTACTTGTCCCTCGCCTAGTTCGAGCCATCGCATTGAAAAATGTTAATTTATGCCCTCGATTCTTTATTATTTCTTGTATAAATAGAATTATTTGCGTTACTTTGTTTGAGATGTCCATGAAACCAATAGGATACATACTCGTGGTAAGATTATGTATTTATTATTGATATTTTTCGCATTTCGGAAGGAGAGTAAGCCGACTCTGACTGTCTTTTGTATAGTGTAACTTTAGCCTAACTAACTTTTTTAAACACTGTAAAATATGCACAATTGGATGGGAGAGCTCTTTTGTTTGTGGATATACGAATGAAATGCATTTCGCTTAGTATGGAAGAAATAATTAAACAATATTGATGCAAACATTGAGATAGCTTCGAATTAAAATATCTTACAATTTCGTCTTCAAATTATCCATTAATTAGGACAATTCCTGGCTTAAGTACAACTTTACTGCGCTTATTTATGTAGAAATCTGTGTCTGCTACTGGCTCTTGTGTTTCACATTGAAGCTTTGGCAATTATGCTTTGCATGAACGAGTACTATTCGAATATTCAGACAAAGCCCATGGACGGCACCTAAGACAATGCAAGCAGCGGCAGGAGCAGAAACAGGAGCAGGCGCAGGAGCATAAGCTGAAGCGGAAGTAGAAAGTCAAGGATCATCTGATTATGGGGATAATTAAGGCAATCAAGGCAAATTGCCAATGATAGCAACTCGGTTCGAACATAATCTATCAATTAGTGCAGTTTCGCACTCGGGGAAACACACTACAAGACCCATTGCTGCCACGTACCACGGTGCGTATGATTTATGCATTTTCTCATGCTCCTTCTGCTGCTCCTGTTCCTGCTCCTGCTCCTCGCACAGAGCAGCGACGAATGAAATGCAATTAAATTATTTGCATTGCATATTTGTTAGCTGGCTTACTAGTCAGAGTGTGTGTGTGTAGGGGGTGTGTGTAAGGGTGTGTGTGGGTTCAATGTTAGTTGATTCGATTGATTGACGTTTGTAAATACGCTCTGTAGACATATGTTTGTTTGCGCTACTTGTTTGTATACATAAATACTTATTTGACTCTTGGGGCATTTTAAATGATATGAATATTAATTTTTTTCTTCTTCATGCGGGTGGAGGATGTTTTGGTTTTCGATTTTTGTTTACTGGTTTCCGATTTCGGATTTCTGATTTCTGATTTCGGATTTCTGATTTCTGTCCTCTGCCCGTGTGCAATTAATTGATTTGCTTACTCGGCACTGACATGCTGCTATTTCGTATTTGATTTTCTGTACATGGGTGCGTGTTTGTACAAATTGATATACATATACATATAATATACATATAATATATATATATATATATATATATATATTTAGACGATAACTGAGCACATTTGACAAGCGTTGCGCGGCTTCGTAACTTTGAACATTTGTTTTGCTTTGATTAAATTTGTTTTCCTTTCCTCAAATGTGTGTTTTTGTGAGTGTGTTTTTTAAGACTTTGCATGTGTGTGTGTGTTTCGGTGTGAGTGTGTGTGTGCGTGTGCGTGAGCCTAGGAATATTTTCTCTTAGCTTTCAAGTCACATTTTAGACTGATTATTATTTAATAGAGACTGCCATTTAACTAGTATTAGTAGTCGCCCCACACCTGTTGCAAGTAAAAAGAGAGAGAGAGAGATGAGAACACACAATTAGGTTAGTCATAGGTTTAGTAACGAGATCCACAAAAACAAAGGGGGGTTGGATTAATTCCGACTAAAGGTGAGGAGCGGTTAGCAAATTAAAAGCCAAACATAAAGGTATCCTTGCGTTCAATTGAAATTTACCGGTATGCCAGCCTTTCCCGCGGGTCCCGAGGGTCCCGATTCGCCTCGCATGCCCATTGGACCCTGCAATTATATTCCATTATGATTATGGGCTAATCTTGGCGGGAGATACCACCACTTACCGGCAGGCCCATGGGTCCCTGATCTCCCTTGTGGCCCTTTTCGCCCTGCAACATAGGATAGGAAACAGAGTATGAGTAGAAACTTATCCGGGGGGAATTAGTGTCCTGACTTGGACTTCAGTTCTTACCGGATCCCCCTTGCGTCCATCCAGACCGCGTTCGCCCTGGCTGCCAGTGTGTCCTGGCGGACCCATGGGTCCCGGTGGTCCTGGCGGTCCATATAGCTGCGGGGGAAATCACATCAGTTAGGATTAATCTTCTGGGGTGGCTTCTGGTGGGTCAAAGGTGGTGGCTTGACTTACGTATTCAATGGTGGGCATGTGCGGGGCATCAGACATTCCATCGTCCTGGCGACGACGCATCTTGCGGTACTGAAAGGATTAATCAGGGGGTGTTAAGGGTGCTCATGATAGGATTAATTTAACAGTAATAGTCGTATACTCACCGAATCACCGCGATCACCCTTGTCGCCCTTGACTCCCGGATATCCTGGTGGTCCTGGTAGACCCGGCGGTCCCATCAGTCCAGGCGGGCCAATATCTCCGCGATCGCCCTTTTCGCCGGGAGGACCCTGGTATCCTGGCAATCCTGGCGGCCCCTCGATGCCCGGCTCACCCGGCAGTCCGTCCAATCCACGCGGACCCAGAGATCCCGGCTCACCTGGCTCACCAGGCTCTCCCTTGCTGCCATCCCGTCCATCGCGTCCATCCTTGCCGGCGGTGCCAGGCGGTCCCGGTGGGCCTCGGAGCAGGGTGACCGGTGGATCGTCGTAATCCTCGTCCAACTTGGTGCCACCAGGTCCGAATATCTGTGCGAGTTACAAGCGGTTGCAAGGATTGGAGTAGAGAGAGAGAAGATGCCAAATTTAGTGGGAAGATTAATTTATGCCACGTGGCACCGCCCGAGGCGTTGCACGCGCTCGTTCCACACGCTTTGATGGGGCAAAACAAAGGCGGCAATGGAAAAAGTTCTTCACCCGCAGGAGAGAGGTGGTACCCCGGGGGTTGTACTCCCGAGGAGGAAAGTGGGCTGCCTGAATGGGGGTTGGACTAAGAGAGGGGCTTGGAGGTGGTGCGGTGAGTCTCCCGGTGGTTGTGCTGGGCTTGAGCCGTGTGCCGCAGCGAAAGTCTTTTGTGTGCCACGAAATTGTGTTAAGTGCAAGTTGGAGCATCCGTGCCACCACCCACGCGGCATATCTCCCTGCCCCTCCCGCCGCCAAAATCCAACCACACCACATCTCCTCCTCCAAGCTGAGACAATGCCTGCATAGAAAATCCTTAAAACCGAATCCGTAGACCCATGGAGCTCGGTTTGCCAGTGATGAACATAGCGATATTTTATCCTAAGGATATCTTTTTTTACCATCTTGGGGTTATGTTCTTTATGGAGTACTTTTTCTTTTAATATATAAAGATATCTATTTATATTTGATTCTAAACCTAGTTTGCAGGAAATTTATTGTGTTAATTTGGTAACCAATTTAAATAACACATTTTCCCCTGATTTAATGTTTGTTTGTTTAGATTGAAACAAGTTTGGTTCTAAGGACATTCCAACAAAACACTTTCTTTGGGGAAACCCTTACTAATATTCAATTTATTTCCTCTATTATGAAATCCTTTTAAACATTTTTTTATGATTTTAAACCCGTATCCTGACAGCACTGAGTGTTGGCGGGAGCAAGAGAGCAAGTGAGTGCGAGAGTCGAAAATAAAGTCAAGTCAGCGGCAGCGACTTCTCTACGTGCTTCGAGTGCCTGTGTGAGTGCTTCTCCTTTTGTGCGAGAGTGTGTGGGTGCTCTTTCGTCCTGCCATTGTGTGTTTTTGGTACGTGTGTGTGCGTAAGTGAGCGAGTGCATAGCGAAAGACAATTAATTGTTTTTTCTACATTTGGTTGGTTAATGTGCTCGCTGCAAGGCAAATTTCCAAGGCACTCGGCACATTGGAGTAACCCCAAATTCCAAAAACGAATAAAGTGTAAAGTTTTCAAATAGGGCTTAAATAGGCAAACACTGCTCAAGAATGAGAATAATAATATAGCAAATTAGTGTATGAATTCTAAAATCTCTATGTATTCTACTATGATTAGATTCCACCTCTTTTTCCTCCCGTTTATCCCTCTTTTGAATTTTGAAAAGATAATTGGAAGGTTCGTAGTGATTCTAAATTGAAATTTATTAACACCAAACCAACGTTTTCTTTCTGTGCACCATATACGTTGGCAAATTACCAAAAGTTTAGCGATCTCGGGGGCGTGGGCTTTGCATTCAGACCGCAATGCAGCCAAACAAAAACCTCTATTAGGCAAAATGCTGAGCGTCATAAAAGGCAACTTCAGCACAAAAAAGCAAGAAAGGAAACTAACTTTGTTAAGCCGAAGCTTATATATCCTTGCAGTTTGTAAACGAATTATAGGATCGTATTGAAAATCAATCATTAATAAGCTTCAATATACACATATTTTGAATCAATATTAATTGATAATTTTATATGACCATTTTTTGGAAAAATCAAAGTTAAAATTATTCATAGCTAAGCCGAAAATGTATTAATTTCAATTCGGAAACCATTCCAATGTTAGTTTTTATAAGGATAATAAATCTGCATACTCAATTTAAAATTTTAGAAAATGTAAAATTTTGCCAATTTTTGACAATTTTAATGATGTAACCCCTTATAAAAATTTGAAAATTTCGAAAATGTTGAAAAGAAATAGATTTTGACCGAACATGGCTAGATCGATCCGGCTCTTAATTCTGATCAAGAATATATATGATTTATAGGGTCGGAAGTGGCTCCTTCAATGTTTTACAAGCTTCGGATTGAAATGATATACCATTCTTTGGGTCGATATTATATATATTTTTATATGACAATTTGTTGAACAAATCAAAGTTTAAAGATGACTCCTTTAATGTGTAACAAGCTGCTGACTAAAATTGTAATACTCTGCAAGGATATATACATATGCTTATAAACTGCAAGGGTATAACAACGAGTGCGGCGAATATGCTAAGGATATGAGCCTCGGCAAAAACTCGAATAAAGGATATAATGGGGGAAAAACCATTTACACATGTGGCCCAGGCGAATAGAGACACTCGACTCTGAGTGGAATATTCAATAGCATTCCGGCAAATCGAGTTGGGAATAAGATGAGCCTCGGCTCGGCATTAAAGTGAAGAAGTCCTGCGTGGAATTAAATGAAAGAGCTCTCCGAGCAGCTGTAAGGCCACATGGTTCAATCTGATTGAACGTATCCGCTTATCCCTTTGATTGCGATTACATACCCATACGCAATCCTTTCCCGGGCATTATGCAATTGATCCTGTCTGTAGCTGTGTGTGTCTCTACGCCTGCAAGTGTAATTTCCTTGCGGCATGCTCAGGCATGTGCAACAATTACATATCCTTGTGTCACAGGAAGTGGCGTACTTACAGTTATTAAAACCCGGGCCAGGACAGCAGCAACAATAAGCACAACGGCATCAGCGAGAAGGCATAACAATGTAAGCGCTTAACGCACACTAGCATTCGCACGGATACGGACAGGATGTGGCTTGGCATATGCATAAGTTGCTGTCGTTGTTGGTCCTTTGGACAGACAAGAGGACGAAGGACGAGGATGCTGAGACAACGGAGGGGGAACAAAAGAAGGAGGAGTCTACATAAGTCCTTGCCTCACCGCAAATGCACTTCCCAATTTCAACTTTTTCCCTCTTGGCATTTTCTTGGCACCCTAAAGACTACGCTCATCGGTGCAGCCTAGTTTTAGCTATTTTCCAAGGATATCTACAAGCTATATGAGAGACTAGGTTTTCTAATTAAATACATACTAAGTAGTATTAGTTCTTTTAGCTTGGTTTTATATCTATTTCTAGCTTTTTTCAATAGACTAACAATAGGCAAAGAGTTGGCAGCACTTGCAGCTCATCTGCATGCCGGTTCTGAGCAGGTGTGCTTGTGTCCTGTGTGCCAGGATGCCAGTTCCTGCGTCAGTTGGCGCTTTGTTAGCAACTTTTGCACATTGTTCGTAATGCGGAATGGGAATTCAGCTTCCATTCCAGCTTCAGCATCAGCTTTTGCTTCCATTCTGGCCTGGCCATTTGTAGAGCAATTAAAGCGATTTGAATTAAAGCCAAGCGCTTAACGTTTGCCTTCTGCCGTAATTAAGGGACACTTTGAGGGCTTACGTGTCCACATTTCCTACCCATTGATAAGCACGAATCCCGCCTCAAGGAACCGGGAGGAAGGTGGTTTTAAAGGCTTTTAAAGGCCACTGCCGGGAGGATGCGATAAATAACATAAATAAAAGATACAAAGATACAGCTACAGATGCAGACGGCGGGCAAGTGAATTGGGCAAATGTTTGTTGGGCTCCCAAGGACGATTGTTGGCGCAGCTGCCTAACTACGATAAAAAAAAAAACAACAAAATGAGAGAAAAACTCTGCCTTTTCGGCAGCCCAAATCCCAATCAGATTGCGGAGGAGGCCCAAGTGTGTGTGTTTGGGTTTGCAAGGAAATCCATTAGAATGTATCAATATTTGTGCGAGCAAGCGCCTCGGGTTGAATTTAATTTTCAAAGTATCCAAACACACAGTCCCATACGACACACCAGCCCCACAGGCGGTGTTTGTGTATGAATGTGTTTTTAGGGACTCCCTCTTTTAAATTATGCGTAAATATTGAAAATATTTGCGCAAAACGCCTTTCAATTTAACGCACAAATGACGAAGCAAATGAGTTTTTCGACTGGTTTGCACCTTTTTTTTATTTGCGTTTTTAGTTCGCTCTGACAATGTAATTGTAAATTAATTGCATTCGTCCTTCTGTATTTTTCGCGGATTCTGCTCGGTATGCGTCCGGCGTAGTTGCTATTTAAAGCTGCCTCGCAGGCAGGATCGGGAAAAACCCGGGGAAAATCTGATGGGGAGAGGGAAAACAGACAAATGGCCGCACGTAAACGCGTTAAATTGAAAATCATTTTGATCTCGACGCGACCTTTGGCGAATGTCGCACCCAGCGAACAAGATGGAGGAGGAGGAGGAGGGTCCTGGTCCTTGTCCTGGAGAGTGACCTGGGAGTGGTGGAGGAGGTCGTCCTGGAGTTTGAGGCCACTTCAAGTACAGCATCTGCCATCGCTGCGGCCGGTACCAGCACTCCTCCCCCCTGCGTGCGCGCATATTTTCCACAATTTTTCATTTTCCCCGGCACATTTTCCTCTTTTGAAATTCCATATTTTTCTCGGGTCATAACAACAGCGCCACGGAAAGGCGGAAAAAAGCGCACCCACCCCACTGAATCGTATTCCGCCAGAGGTGAAAGTTTTGCAGCTCGTTTCCGGCTCACACACACACACACACACATACACTCATACACTCAGCCGAAATCCCGGCACTTCATGGCGTGTAATGCGCGGCGCGTTCGCCGCAAAAGTTTACGAAACATTCTTTGCAAGTACGCGAGCGCATTAAATTCGTAATATGTTCCGCCTCGCATTGATACCGAGTACAATGGGCCATTCCGGCCATAAAATGGGAGGTACTATAAACAATGTGAGATTGTTTTCGTTATGCAACTTGCTTATTTGCCACCAGAAAGTAAAGGAAGTTGTATGAAAATAAACTGAGATGCAGTATAAATATGTTAAAAAATAACCAATTGATTTTGAGTTTTGTTAAGGGAATTGAATTATAATAACTGGGGTTTCTATAAAAAGCACTATGGTTTGTTAAGACCCTAAAAAGGTGTCCAAAGAAGAAGTGCCTAAAAATTCCACTGAATACTTATAGACATATTGTTAAGGGT